ACATGTTTCACAAATAGGAGGATCACTTTTAGACAATAAATATGAATGAGTAAGTTTCGTGTGTCCAATTCGTAATCTCGTTATCATCAATTTTGCTCTTATGTTCCTGGTTAAGAATTCTTAAGCTGTAACGTCATTTTTAATTTGCTTCAGTGATGTTTGAGGAGATTGCCATTCGTTTTTCCACTTGCAGAAAACTCGATTCTTTATAAAAGCTTTTATATCACTTGCGGTATTTCGATACTCGGCTTTTTCTATATCGGCACATTTAGCCATTTGACTTGCGTACTGGTCTGCACTTTGTTGCCAACAATGCCAATGTGGGATGGAATCCGTATAAACCTGATACTCCTAGAATTTTCTTGAGCCTACATGAGTTCTAGTTTTACCAATTTCACGATGAAACTTAATACTTTGTATTGCGTCCCCTAGTCTGTATAACTGCCTGTAGATATCGGCTTAAGCTATCTATGAGGTTGCAAATATTATCTTGCTGGATGTTTTGCCACTTCCCTTTTAAAGTCCGTTAATTGAGGCTGGTGCAACTTCGCAACTACTAATATTTGTACTAATCATATCGCGCTGTTGGGTTTATATCTGGCGAATACGCTGACCAGTTCATTTTATTAATACCAACTTCCTTTAAATATTGGGTGACTCACATTGCAGAGTAAGGTCGCGCATCAGATATATTGAGAAAAGGGTACTATAGATAAATTCACATTCAGATGGCAGCGTTACAGAGATAGGCCTGTACTTTCTAGATGCCAGAAATAACTACATTGTTGTCAGTTTTTAATCGTGCCTACAATCGTACGTTATGGGCCGGCTCCTATAAAAGAATTATAATTTCGGAAATATTTATGAATGTGAAATGGAAAAATTACTACATTTTTTTAATTATATAATTTTTCTGTTGGTATTTTAAAATAGAAAGTTTATATTTCGGAAATCTGGTCTTTTCGGAATTATATCTTCTGTTCAAAATTGTTTACAATTCGTGGAAATGAAATAATTATTTGTATAATCCGTTTTTGATCTTAATGTCCTTTTAATGACACACTTTCTCTACCTGCATTTACAGTTACAGACATTAAAAAATAATTTAGAATTAAAAAAATAATACCTATTTATAAATTCAAAATTATTGTCTAATGCCTAGCAATTATAAATTCAGGTAAATACTTGAGAGTCATTAAAAGAATTTTCAGTTGATATCAGACGATTGTGTCGTGTCAGTGTCAAAATGGCCGCCAGTGTAATAAAATTCAAAAACAGTAATTTGTTAAATAGTGAATGCAAAAAAATAGTGTTAAATGTTTTTAACTATTTATCAAACAGTAATAATGATAAAAGTGTATCAACAATACTGCGGGAAGTTTTGCTATGACTGGAGTCTCTGAGCAAACGATATTCCGATATAGAAGTAAAAGTAAAAATGGTCCACTCGTAACTCCTATAAGAAAAAAAAGAACCGGTTATTTGAATAGTCGTGGAGAATAGATATGATGAAGCAACTTGGTCTAGAATAAGACAAGTAGTGCACGGTTTTTTTATTGACAATATTCCTCCAACCCTTGACGTAGTACTAGAAAAAATTAAGCAAATGAAGCATCTTCCGAATTTTTCCAGAGTACGTTGAGAAGACTATTGCACGACATGGGTTTTATATATGGCAAACAGGTAGAAATTCAATATTAATAGAAAAACAAGAAATAGTTGCTTGGAGGCGTCACTATCTCCGGGAAATAAAGAAACTGAGGAACGAAGGAGCCAATATCATTTATATGGACGAATCATGGGTTAATACTGGAATAACCAATGGGCAAGTATGGCAAGATACAACAATAAAAAATAGCCGACAGGCTTTCGTAAATGGACTTACCACACGTTTAAAAACTCCGACCGGAAAAGGACCAAGATTTGTTTTAGTCCATGCAGGAAACAAAGACGGATTTGTTGAAGGTGCTGACATCACTTTTCTTGCCAAAAAGGTGCTGAAGATTACCATAAAGAGATGGACGGAGATCTATTTGAAAATGGTTTGAAGAGATGTTAATACCGAATCTCCCAAAAAATAAAAAGAATGTCATTATCTTGGACAATGCAATCTTATCACTCTAGGAAATTAAATTTTCCCAAACAATATTGGGTGAAACGTCAAATTAAGGAGTGGCTCTATGAAAAGGAATTTATTTTGAAGAAGATTACTTAAAAAAATGAACTTCTGGAAACATGCTAATGTATTTAAAAATATTTATGACAAATACAAAATTGATTGTATTGGTGAAAAAATACAGGAATCACAGTGACGAACAATGTCCGCGTAGATGTACATATCTTAAGACTTCCGCCCTTATCACTGTGAACTTGAACCCAATAGAAATGGTGTGGAGTGAAGTGAAACGGGTACGTGTCCTCTAAGAATTCAAGTTTCAAACAAAAACGACGTTAAAACATTGATTTATGAAGGTTATGATAAAGAACAGAACAATGGACGATGGACATGGGAAAAATTACGTCAACCAATGTTATAAAATTGGAGAAATAATTTTTGGACAGGTAGACAACATTCAAGATGACATTTAAACCTATTAGAATTTCATTAAACGATGACTCTGAAGATAAACTAGATTATGAAAAGAAGATGATTGAAAATTGTTTTTCGGGGGTATTCTTTTCTTGGTAAAGGTAATAAAATATTTAGTTGATCTGGTTGAAATGTAGCACACTTAAATAACTCATTAATTGACATAATTTCAAGTAGTTATATTCGACGTCATTGTGCAAAAAATAAAGTTATGAACATTTAATAAATTAGTGCACAATTGAGGCCCCTAGAACACAAGTGTTCTGCCAAAGTGTAAGTGCCAAAAAACAAAGTTTTGAAAAATCTTTGTTCAAAGTTCGATATAAAATTTAAAAACCTAGGTAACACTTTTTCAGTTTTCAGCATGTTTTCAATGACATGTAATTTTTGATGGTGTTATTGTTGTTAATGTAGAAAGTTTTGAAGCCAAACACGTGCCTGTTGTTAGATATCAGTTGCTAAGTGAATAAGCAACTGCACTTACACCCTTGTGTTCTAGGGGCCTCAATTAGGGGTTTTTTGCCAATTATCTTAGTCATTTGTTTATGTATTTTAATTTACAAACTAAAAAATTAAAAAACTTTTAAGATCTGCAACATTTATTTGAAACATTTTTCCCTAAAATGCACGAGGAACAAAATAGGCAAAAAAATGATTTTTTACAAACTTCATCTTTCTTTAAAAAATAAAACAAAGCAAAAATTGGCTGTAATTCTTCAAGGAATTATCATCAGTTATCCTTATCTACCGTTTTAGAATATTAAAAAACCTGTAGAATATTTTTCATATTTTTTTTCCCTATTAACTTCGGTATTATGTATAAAAGCATTTTAGGAATTATTACCATTTATTTCATTCACGAATTTTCTATTAACAACTTTAGCTTACCTAAACATATCTTAGTTTACCATGAATTTGGCCTGATTATTTTACAAAAGTAGCAAAACTTACAATGGCAGTAGAATTGGCAACGCTGTATATCCTATATCCGTACACTGCCATCTGAACGTGACTTTATCTATACGTAATTAGCTAAAATTCCCTCAATATATCGGCGTGCAGTCAAGGAACTCTCAATAAATACCAATTCAGTGTGGGCTTCTCGGAATATTCCTGTCCATACTATTACTGAACCCCCTCCATGGCTAACGCGGGGACTGAAAGCGCACTCCGAAAATCCTCTCCAGTTCGACGCCATACTCGTTCTTTCTCATCTGATGAGTGAAGACAGTATCTCGACTGATCCGTAAAAAAAACATTACTCCATTATCCTAAACTGCAATGTAAATATTTCCTGGAAAATTGTACTCTAGTCACTCTGTGCAGTGGAGGTAATTTGGGCCCAGTTGCTGGTCTGCAACTTTGCAAACAAAATTCATGTCATATTCGATGAACTATAAATACACCTACATTATTGCCCTCAAACCTCTTGAAGCTGATTTCTTGTTTACACTGCTGTTGAATGACGATCTCGCAAAGTGTTGACTCGTATAAAACGATCATCTAAAGCGGTAGTTTTGCGCTTTCTGCCATTTCCCGCTTTACACTTGTTGTTTCCAGTTCGTACAAAACATTTCACTACTCTTTGGATGATAGAGCGTAGTATAGAGCGATGATAGTGTAGTATTCTAGCCACCTATTCATAATTTCGCCATCTTCAACCATAGCAACGGCTTTAGCACAATATTCGACACTAACAACCATGATCTGATCAATCATAGGTAAACAAAATCTAAGTGTCAATATGACATAATGATATCAGTCAACAACGCCACCTCGTCGTATTACACAGTAACTCCAAAATAATCATAATTAAAAAAGTCTCAAATTGTGGGTGGCAAATTCAATTGGCTCTAAAAAATGGCCACAGGATGTTTTAAAGTTAGGATAATAAAACCACGTTTTAACTAACCCATACAATAAGTCACATATAAAATTTTATTACAATTCAAAACTGACAATACATGTATTATCACATATACAAAAAAACTGACTATACCAAATTAAAATTTAAAATTTATACACAGTGTGCTAAAAAAATCATCAAAATAGGATTAAAAAGAAAAAAATTTAAATACTTTGAATTTGACCAAAATTTTCTCCGATTCGTTTTTTTTTTTTCATCTGAGTATAGTTTTCATTTTCATATATCTTTTCAGGTGGAGTTCTTTTTTTACAGTTCACCTTGGAATTTATGAAATTTTTTTACTTGGAAAATAATGTCACCGATATAGTAGGTGCATTTTTTATGACGTTGGTTACTGGTGTTCAAATCATAAAATTAATATTTGTCTACATAAACAAGAGAGGCATTGAAGATTTAGTGCAATCGATAAATCGCCCAGAGTTTCAGCCAAAATCTGATTATCAAACGAAAATCTTATGGTCTTATATATTAAGATCAAGAATTATGTTAGCGGCGTAAGTAGAATTTGATTTAATTTCTAATATTTTATATATTTTTTTCTCAAAACGAAGACGTTCAATATCAAAATGTCAACGCAAGAAATTGGTAATAAAAAGTTTAAATTCAGCGTTTTTAGGCATATTTCAAATGCCTTACATTTGTTGCAAAACTCAAAACTAAAATTTTATGCTATAGGTTTTCACCTATAATAATAAACTCTAATAATTAAAACTAAATAGTATCCGGTCAATGAAATTGATAAATTGTATTGATTTGATGAGAATCATAAAAAAATGCAGAAATCGCGCCTTGTTTATATTATTTAACACCTCATAAAAACTGAGTATCTTTGCGGCCAAATACAAAAATTGCATACAAAAGCACTTTTTACCTTTAAAATGCACCTTGATTAGTAGAAGGGTCGCTGACTTCACCCCACTTTAAACCTTTGACCTCTGACGTCACAACAGATGTCGATCAGGTCTCGAACAGGTTTTCATCAGTTCCGAAGGTCTTGAGCAGGTCTTGATTTATTCTTGATCAGATCTCTAACAGAACTCGAACTGATGTCGAACAGATCTCGAACAGCTCTCGAATTGGTCTTAAACAGGTCTTGAACAGGTCTTCATCAGGTCTTAAACAGGTCTTGATCAGGTCTCTAACATGTACCTGCTCGAGACCTGATCAAGACCTCTTCGAGACCTGATGAAAACCTGTTTAAGACCTGTTCGAGACCTGATCAAAACCTGTTCGAGACCTGATCGACACCTATTGTGACGGCAGAGGTTCAAAGGATAAAGAGGGTTGAAGTGAGACCCTTTCTACTTTGATTTTGTTGATAGGACACTCGGATCAAAAAAATATCGAATTTTTACCGCCAAACACTATACAAATTTTATTGAACTATTGGTTTTGCGCGCGTAACTGACATTCAAAATCGCCGATCGTTCCAAGCATTTTTTTCTGAGCAAATTGTTCATTTTACACAAAAAAAAAGCTAATAAACATTTTGGTTTAAAATTATCTTTGCTATATTTTTTATTTAAAAACATTTTTTTCTATAATGTACAAATTCTTGGTAAATCGTTTTTTTTTTTTTTCAGTTTCACCCTCTACGAGGGGAGTTTTAGGGTAAACCTCGGGGGGGTAAAAATATGCAATTTATTTTGCATTTTTTTTGCGTTATTTGGGGGGTAAAATTAAAATCTTGAACAAATTCAACTTATTCGTATATCTTTAGGGGTTCAGTGGTATTTTCGTCTCTGACGACTGGAGTAGAGCACTCCCTTCTATTGTTAGAACTAATTGGTTTAATGCATATCGATTGGAGCTTCATCATCATCATCAGTGGTGCTACAGCTCTAGTTGAGCCTTGATCTTCCCCAGTCTATTTCGCCAGTCGTTTCTGTTCATCGCCAACCGTTGCCAATTTGCCGCGCCAATTTTCCTTGCGTCCTCGTCCACACCGTCCCTCCATCTCAGTCGTGGTCTGCCTCTACTCCTATTTCCCACTTGGACCGATAATAGAGTTCGTCTGGGTGGGTAATTTTCATTTGCTCTTGACACATGTCCAGCCCATCTAAGCCTACCTATTTTTATGAAGGATATTACATCTCTACCATTTACTATTTTTTTACTTCTCGTACAATTCGAAATTATATCGCCTTCTCCAAATACCATTCTCACAGAATGCGTCCATTATTCTTCTTAGTATCTTCCTTTTGAAGACGAGCAGAAGATTTGCGTCTGTTTTGGAGATGGTCCATGTTTCTGACCCATATGTCAGCACTGGTAGGATGAGTGTTCGATATATTATTAGTTTGCTTTTCTGGCTTAAATTTCTGTTTTTTAGCTGCTTGCTTAGTCCAAAATAACATTTGTTTGCTAGCAGTACCCTCCGTTTAACTTTTTCAGATGTGTCATTATCGTTTGTTATGAGAGAACCCAAATATGTAAACTTATTTACTACCTCAAAATTATATTGGTCTATACTAAAGTTTTGTTCGGCGTTTCTAGCTCTATCTCTGTTATTTGGAATAGATGCTAACATTTTGGTTTTTTCCTCGTTCTTTTAAGGGCCATATTTTGTGCGGCTGTCAAGAAGGTGGAAGTCATCTCTTTAAGTCCTCGTGTAGTACGTGCAATCAAATCCAGATCGTCAGCGTAAGCCATAATCTGCGTTGATTTATTAAAGATTGTTCCCCTATTGTGTAACTCGGCATCTCTTATAGTCTTTTCTAACGCTATATTAAAGAGAAGGCACGCCAGCGCGTCTCCCTGCCGTAACCCTGCATATGTTTCAAACGCTTGTGACATATCGCCTTGTATTTGCACTCTGCAGATCACTTTACTCATAGTTGTTTTTACGAGCCTTATTAATTTATGGGGAATAGAAAGTTCATTCATGGCTTCGTATAATTTACCTCTTAGGACGCTATCATACGCTGACTTAAAGTCCACAAAGAGATGGAACGTGTCAATATTATAATTCATTGATTTTTTCTAAGATTTGACGTAGCACAAAAATTGGTCAATTGTTGACCTACCTGGCCTAAAATCGCTTTGATACTCACATCGATTGGAGCTTACCTGGTCTTTAAACCTGTTTATTGTGGTATAAGGTTCTCGAAAACTATAGTTTCTATGCCATTTAAACCTTTTTTATATATCTTAAAGATATGGCATAGAAGAAAGATTGGTCGGTAATTTTTTAGCTGGGTTTTTTCTTAGCTTTAAAAACGCAATTTATTTAGATTATCTTCGTAGTTTTGGGACTCTGAAGTATGGCAGAAGTAGTAAGCAGTTTAAGGAACCAATTCTTAAAAAATAACACAATTTGTTTATTTGTTTTACACAAATTTCGTCTACTCCCACTCTCTTGCCAATTGTGATTGAGTGGGTGGCTTGGATTAATTCTTAAATTATAAAAGGGTAGCTTAAGGCAATTTCTTTCAGATTGAGAGTTTCGAGTTATCTTCGATTTCTGTGGTTTTAAGGTGGTCGTTAAGCGGTCTTATTTCTTATTATATTTCTGATTATATTATGGCTAGTTAGATATTATGGCGTTGGTAAACAATATATTCGGCCTTATGTAAATGTTTATTTTGCAAGCGTATGTATATTGCTCTGTCCATTTTTCCATTTAAAAAAAAGATATCTTAGTGAGCAGTGTCTAGTGCCTGTAAATAGGCGACAAATAAATAGTTCTGAAAATGTGGATAAAATATTACATTTTTTAGCTCCTTGATATTGGAAATAACATTTATTATCAATAAATTTTCCCAAAACCTCATTGTTGTTTAGATATAAATAAACAAAGCATTAGAACAAAAACTACGTACTAGAGAATTAACTAGACTTTCAGATAGTTTTTTGACAAAGTCTTCTTTATGTACCTTCTAAATTTCTTGTCATAGAAGATAGAATTGTGATAATTTTAAAGATTTATAATAATAATACTCTTTTTAAGTAAATAATATGCAAATAAAATTATAGATTTTGGTTAGCTGGAGTATTTACTGTTGCTACTTGGATAATATATCCCTTATTGGAAGAAGAACCTAAATTACCCATAGAAATATGGTTTCCCTTTGATTTAAAAAATACTACAAATTTTTATATTGCATATGCATTTGTAATGATTGCTACTTTTACTAATGGCATTGTCAATATGTGTATTGACACTTTACTTTCAGGTAAGTTTATTGTTGTATATATATATATATATATATATATATATATATATAATTATATTATATATATATACATGACTCTGTCTGTTTTTCAATGTGCTTTCAGTAAGTTGTGAAGGGATTAATACTAGATTGGTAATTTGAAAGAGCCAGTTGAGATTTTTTATTTGTTTTTATGAAGAATCTTGTTTTTTAATTGCTGTTACAACTCTTTAATTATTTGGAGTAGATGTTATGTAACATATGATACATTTATAATGGTAGTCATTTTAATTAAATTGTTAGTATTTTTTTATTAGTGCTTATTTGTTGGTATATGCTTACTACTTAGTTTGATTAAATTTCCTGTTAATACAGATTTATTAATCCAGATTAATTAATTTTTAGTTTTACATTAGAATAACAAAAATAACTGCTCACTAGTCATTATGTTGAATAATAATAATGCAACTTTAACTGCATAAAAAACTTAAACACAAAAAAAAATTGAATAATATTTTAGCTTCTATGATGATCGGAGCAGCTCAATTTGAAATTCTTAATGATTCGTTAGAAAATATTCGATACTTCTCAGAAGAGGAATTAAAGTCCAGAGGAAAAAGTATTAATTATGCGAATAAAGATGAAATTTTGCCGGAATTACAAGAAATGATGGATCAAAAGTTAATAGAGTGTATAGAACACCATAGAATTATTATTTCGTAAGTATATTTGTGTTCCATATGTTGTAATATTGTTATCTTTTTAAGGAACTTAAATTCGATTTTCACGTCTGTCGCAATTTGTTAAAATCATGTTTTGTTTAGTTATTTAAAATATTAGTAATATATCACTAGGTATATCACTTAAGGACAAGAAAACAAACACATGGATAAGACAGAAAACCAAAGTCACCGATGTGGTGCAAAAAGCATTAAAGCTGAAATGGGAATACGCTGGACATGTAGCTAGGAGCGATCTAAACAAATGGCACAGATCAATTTTAACCTGGAGACCATACCAACACAAAAGACCCAGAGGCAGACCTCCTATGAGATGGACAGATGATCTGAAAAGGACTGCCGGGAAAAATTGGCTACAAGTAGCGTACAATAAAAAACAATGGAAAGGAAGACTTGAAGAGGCTTATGTTCAGATGTGGACGTGAATGGCTAGACGAAGAAGAAGAAGAAGAAGTAATAAAAAAATAAGTATATTGTAAAGTATGATCTTCATGTTGGTTTATTTCTAATCAAGATACCATCATACTTCATTCTATAAAATGTTTTAAAAAATGTATCTTTTAGATTTCTTGATGAATATCAGAACATGTTTACTTACTGTCTATTGGTCCAATTCGTAAGTAGTGTGAATATTATATGTGTTGGATTGTTTGAATTAGCACAGGTAAGTTAAATTAATAATGAATATGAAACACATTACTATTAAAATTGGAATTTTAAATTCAAAATTACAATTTAACAAAAAAATTATGTTATTGATCGGGAGTATCAGTTGTCCTATTACACTTTCTTTTGTCTTCTGGACATTCTATTTACTACTCGCCTTAGACTTTCACCTACTTTTATTGATAATCGAGTTCGGCGCTGCTTTAGCCACGAAAGCCACTCATTTTGTTTGGGTCATTGTTAACATACAGTGTATAAAAGAACAGTCTTTTGTCTGCAACAATGTATTTAACAACCGTTTAATATTCCATATTATCTGTGTTCTGTACACTAAATCTTAGCAAAATAGACGGAAAGTATCAAAACTAACAAAAAGTATGTTAATATTTTAACCAATGTTTATATACAGTTGCGAAACTGCAACACCTGTTTTTCTGATACTTCCAACTCAATGCATTGGAGATAATTCGATAAAATTTGACGCACTGAAAGAAGGGTTTGGTTCGAACTCTCAGAAGTTAAGTCATGTATAGCAATTTGTATTAAGTGGTTAATCTAAACCAAGTCATTTTTAATTGCGTAGGCATAGGCAATTTTTCGATAGCCTTACAATAGGATTTGCCAGTAACTGTAAGACGTGTATTTATTTGAGAGTTGAAATTTCATTTATTGTCTGTATACTAGTATTCTCATTAAATCATTTAATTATTAATAATTGTTAATTTTTGTTACAAACAGTAAAGTTTAATTGAAATATAGCACCAAATTGTTTTAATATATCAGTGAGTGCATTTGGTTTTAAAAAATAATAAATATCTAGTTTATATAAATAACAAGCACTAACTAATCTACACAGGTACATTGATTACACAAACATGGAACGCTTTCAGCTATTATCACAAAATTATGCTTTAATCAAAATTGGCATTTATGGTCGATGTGTGGAATTTGCTTGTTTAATAAAATTTCGATTTAGCGCTTAACGCGATTATCTGATCCTTATTTTATATATTATTACATTTATTATTTTCAAAAGAAGTTAATTACTTTTACTATATGCTTTTTAGACAGAACTAGGTAGTGTCCAGTTCTTTTCAAGAGTAGGGTATCAGTTCTGTTTTCTTTATGAGATATTCCTGATGTGTTACTATGGAAATGAAGTTACAATACAGGTAATTATCAGGATTTAATTTATTTTTGGCTTTTTACTAATCATTTTTAATAGTTGAGATAAATACAGTAGTCCAAAAATATTTAAAATATTAAAAATATTCTATTGCATTAAATAATTGTTTTTCAATAGCATGTACTTTCTTTACACTTAAGTTAACCTTGTAGATTCAGCAGTTTTATTAACATGCATGGCCTAGTAACGAATTAATATCCTAATGTTATAGAAGGGTAAACAAAAAGGAATTAGAACACTTAATAATCGTAATTAAGTCGTAGTTGTAATTTGAGATGTAAACATGTAATTAACTAAATAAGTAATGCGTTAAGTATAAACTATTTCGTTCTGAATAGTAGTGAATAAATACGATAAATCACAACTTAATCTATTTATCAATCCACCTCTCATAAGTCAAGATGCAGTTAAGTAAGAAATATCGCCCAATCTATTTAGGCACTAATATGATGGCGATATGAGATACGAGTTATATATATTTAATTATAATAGAGAATGTTTCTTTCTATTTAAAATTCATATATTTTGAAACAAAATTGTCAATAATTTACACTAAAATTAAGGATACAAAATACAAAAATTAATTAATTACAATTTATACAAAAAATATTCATCCACTTCACAGCACTGTCCACGGAATGATCAATTACATTTATGCATGTCGTTTGATTTATTACCACATTTAAACGTGAGACTGCATTTTCCCAAAGAGCTCTCGGAAGTGCCGACGAATATTAGACCCTTATAATAAGACTATCTATCTGGCAGTGAATAAAATTAAATAGCTATGATGGTAACCAACGTTCTGAAGGACAGGTACATGAAGAAGAAGATCCTTATCTAAAAGTGTCCTCGATACAGTCGGTATTAGAATGTAAACAATGTAACCCGGTCGATAGATGTGATGATAAACAAGTTTTTTCGTTCAAATATAAATTTATGGTAATTTTCCATAATTCATTGGAAAAGAAAACGGGCGAAGACGAAGCAGATCCCCAAACAAGAAATAAAAATAACATGTAGGGAAATAAGAACGGCAATAAAAGCAATCAAAATAAGAAAGCACCGGAACCTGGAGGAATCTCACCTGAGCTTATAAAATACGGATCAAAAAAATTACACCAGATGACACAATGGAAAATTCAAAAGCCATAAATGGAGAACAGCTCCCAAAGGAATGAACGCAGGCATATTATGACATCTATATTGAAGAAAGGAGATAGAAAACGAGGCGAAAACTACAGAGGAATAAGCGTTATAACATCAATAGGAAGATTATATGGGAAGATACTGCGAGAAAAGATAGAGCAAGCAATAAAAGGCAAAATCTGGGAGGATCAGGCAGGCTTCACGGCAGGAAGATCATGCATACACCACATATACGCACTGGAACAACTGTTGAAAAAGAAAAAAGCAAAAAATAGAGATATACATTTGGCATTTGTGGACCTGAGAAAGGCGTATGACTCTGTACCAAGGTCAGAACTATTAAAGGCAATGTACAAATTAGAAATGCAGACGGAACTCATAGAAGCTACAAAAGTTCTGTATAAAGAAAATAAAGTGTCCATTAAAGTGGGAACAAGAATCATAGGAGACTTCAACACAACAAAAGGGGTCCTGCAGGGTTGTTCCACATCTTCAACCCAATTTAAAATATACTTAGAGAAAGCTACTTGTTGCAATTAATAATGCAAGGAAGATTATAGGGTAGAAGGAGTCGTGGAAGAAGACGCATGTCCTCGTTGAATAATTTAAGAGCTTGGTTTAACTGCACTTCTGCTGACCTCTTTAGAGCAGTGGCGTCGAAAGTGCGAATTGCCATGATGGTTGCCAACCTTTTTAGAGGAGATGGCACGTGAAGAAGAAGAAGAAATAAAACTAGAAAAAAAGGTAAAAATAAATCAAAAATAGATATATTCACAATCAATTTAATATAAATTGTACCGTATGCATCGTCAAGTCTCCGAAAAGGTAACTTAAATGAATGTAACGTAAAAATATAAATGATCCTAGAATTAAATTTGCACAATTCTAAAGGTGAATACAGTCCTCTCTCTCTATAACGATATGCAAGGGACCGCGAATTTTCATCGTTCTAAGGAGAGATCGTTGTACAGAGAGATATAAAAATCGTTACTGTAACATTAATAATATTGGACTAAATAACCTATTGAAATTTACAAGTTGATTATAAATGAATTAACCCTGTATATACTTGTACTTGCAAAACCAATTAAGTACTTTTGGCGCAGGGGTTGGAGTTGCTTCTGGCTCTGCTTTCATTTCTGGGTCACTGTTTTCTTCTACTACTTCTACATGAACTGCTTGTAACATGTGCTCGTCAGAAAGTCCAAATATTGTTGCTATATTTTTATCAACTTCTTTGTAATCTGTTAGCAATTCAGGTCCGTATGTGATAGGACTGTCTGGCCCAAACAGCTAACGGTAGGTTATCTTCATTGTCAGTCATTCCTTGATCTTTTAGCCATTCTGCGTATTTAAAGGAATGTATTATCGTATTGCTCGTCACCTCGTCTCAGGATTTACTAATCATTAGGATGGTGTCAAGAATACTTAGTTTGAGATCGCCATTATTCTCAACCAATTCCATCAAAAATATTCTCCTGTAATGGATTTTCAAACTATTGATGACACTTTGGTCTATGGGCTGAAAAACACCCGTTGTGTTTGCTGGCAGAAAACAACGATCATCGTTTTGAAGGTCGCACAGTACAGGATGAGCAGGCCAATTGCCTACAAGCGAAGACTTTTTTCCCTTTAAGCTCGACATCCCATTTTCTTATCGCTTCTTCAAAAATTTTCTCCACGAACTCTTGTTTGCTTTTTAGGTTGCAGGTAGATTTTTGATGATTTTAAAGCAACGTGGGTTTTTCGACCTCCCTATCACTAACAATTTTCTCTTCACTGAACCTGGTAATTATCGGCCACTAACACCGTAATGCGGTCCTTAGAGAGCTTTCCACCAACGCACTTTTTAGATTTAAATTTCAAAGTTCTTGGTGATGTCATTGTAAAAAATAATCCAGTCTCAGCATTGGAAATGTCATCTGGCGCATATAGTGCCTTCAGTCCAGGTCACACGTTTTTATCCAATCATCCGTTACGTTTTTGTTAACATCGCGAGCCTCTCCGCTGATCTGCCTGTAGTTGATATTCTGCTGCAGCTTTCACGTGCTAATCCAACTCTCAGCTGCTTTGAAACTCTTAATTCCAAGCTCTGTTCCAAAAAACTTAGCTTTTGTCCTGACGACATGTTCAGAAAGTGGAATATGGTTTATACGCTTCTGCTAGAACCATTGAAGTATAGCAGAATCTAAATTTTCGAACTGAGGTTTCCCCAACTTCTTCCTACTACTACCGTCAATTTCCGCTTCAGGCCACTTTTTTCTGTCCTTCCGTATCGTAGCCACAGTTGACCGGGACATCCGATTGATTTTTACCTTTCTCTACTGCCGGAATTATCGATATTTTCTGCCGTGAGCACTTTACGCTTTTTGGAAAACATGAAGAATGTTTACACAAAATGACAACATTTATGTGAAAGCAATTAGGCGCGCCGCCTGAACGATAAAATGACGTCACTCAACCCTTGGATAACAATGAGTAGGAGGAGTGACAGCATTCCTTGAGCGCGAAACAAAACAACCGCTGGACAATGATCTTGTCACTCATGACTGAAGTAGTCTGGGCTTTAAACACAATAACAAGTTTGACATCGACTATTGAACGCTGAAAAGTCATCGCTATAAAGAGAGAACGATATCGGTATAGAGAAAGAATTAATACGTTGTCCTTATGGCAAATCAAGCAACGATTACTATTTTCATCGTTATAGAGGAATTTTCGTTATATAGGGAATCGTTATAAAGAGAGATTACTGTAATTTTTAAATCATATAAAAGTTTATTTTACATGCCTATGCAAGGAATGTATTTATCTACGTGGAAGCATAATACAAACTCTGTATGGTTGATTGTTTCCTGATGATCATTGGCTTTACTGAAATTTGACAAGGGCATAAATGTTCTTAAAGGGAAGGTTAGAATAACAACCGGAAATATTGAGAAACTATTGATATTGTTTTTTTACTAAACTACTTTCTAACGTAATTTCTAAATGCCCGAATCAGCTTAATCTGATCTGCAACTTATTCATATAGCTATTTAGTAATAGATAAATTTCATATATAAAAATGTTCTGAACCAAATTGACTTTTGGATATATTTTTAGAGTACCAAACTGGGATATTCTGCCTATCACAGCCATTGGATACATTCGTCAAGGCTATTTAAGAAACACCTTATATATTTTATGACTCGAACACAGGTCACAGTCAGTATTTTAGCTGGTAGACTTTTTACTCTAAATTTAAGCAGTTTTGTTGGTGTAAGTATCCTTTCATTAAATGAAGGTTGCGATATTGTTAATTAGTTTATATATTTATGTAAATTGTTTTTAAATAGTCTAGGGCTAAGACCACCGTATCCTTTTTAATTCTGATGAGTCAAAATGAGCAGGGATTGTAAAATACTTGGTTGAATGAAAAACACTTGGGAGAAAAATTAAAAGTCACTATTAAAGAGCTTTAAATACAAGTTTAAATAACTTAAAATAAAATAGAACCAATTGAGGAGAGAAGTAAAAAAGACCAAAGTGAATATCGTGCAGATGAATATGAAACTAAGCAGAGAGACAAGATGGATTCGGGTTAAAAATGATTAAAAAAGGCAATGCCTAATCTAAGAATAAGAATTTTATTTAATTTTATTTAAATTAAATTTGTCTAAAATAAATTTTAATTAAATTTATTTTAGACAAATATTTTACAGTCAAGCATTTCGTACTTTTGAAAACATAGCGAGCGCTAAGAAGTATTAACTTCAACAAGAGAGAATTTAATGTGTTCTAAATATGCAAATCTGTATGTATTAATCAAATAGAGTATATTGTAAATATTTGGTGGTATTTTTAAAACTATATTTTAAAAGTATACATCGCCAAAATTGTTCAATCAGGCTATGGAAGACATATTTAAAAATTAGAATGGGATACATACGGAATAAAAATAAATGGAGAGCTCTTGAACCACTTGAGATATGCAGACGATATAGTCCTGATAACAGATAAGAAGGAAGAGTTACAGAAGATGGTTGAGGAACTAGATAGAAAAGCGACAGAGGTAGGTCTAGAGATGAACTGTAGTAAAACCAAGACAATGACAAACCAAGAAGACCAATTAGAAATAGTAGTCAAATAGAATAAATTAGAGCAGGTGGCAGAATACATATACCTATGACAGATAATAAAGCTAAACAGGGACAATCAAACAGAAGAAATAAAAAGAAGAACTAGACTAGCATGGGCCTAATTTGGTAAACTATCATATATTCTAAAAAATAAAAAGTTCCCTCAATATACGCGAACAAAAGTATTCAACCAGTGCATTTTACCAGTTATCACATATGGCTCACAAACATGGACTTTCACAAAGGAGAACATCGACAGGATATCGAAAACTTAAAGAGCAATGGAAAGACAGATGTTGGGTATCGGTCTTAAAGACAGGAAAAGAAACTCATGGATCAGAGAAAAAACAAAGGTGAACGATGTATCAAGACAGGTTGCAAAACTTGCAACCTCTCAAAAAATGGAAAAATGGAACTTCGCCGGTCACACTCTCCGGCAAAAAGATAAAAGATGGAATAAGCGAATTCTACACTGGAGACCATGGGAAAAGAAAAGAAAAAGAGGAAGACCACAGATGAACCAAATCAACCAAAGGTCATAAACCAAATAACGCGAGGAAAATAAAGATAGCAGATTTCTAGATAACATTGCCAGGACAGCACTGGATTGGAATCTTCAAGGCTGACGGAAAGCAAACAGACCTAAGGAAAATCCTGAAAAAGAACAATACTGGACGAAGAAAAACAAATATAAACGTCTTTCAAATATTCTTATGAAGGTTGGTTCTAACATTCAAATCGCATCTAAAAACTTCGGTGAAAAACACTTTAGTATTCTTGGAATAGAATTAACATCCAATGTTTATTTTACTAAGCCCAAATTGCCTTTTAACCTGTTTTCAATGAAGACCGGCGTGAGAATCGAAGTAAATAGCACGCCGGTCAAACTATTCAATGAGAGGAACAGTGTTTTTTTGACTACAGCTGCAACAGTTGTCACCCCAATCTTTGAATGATGAACACCTCTCCGGACTAGTAACTCATGTATGAGTTTACGTTGCTATAAAGTGAATCTGCTTACAACTTTAAACATCCTATTAAATTAGCAGCAATCATGTAATCTAAGGACCAATTTAGTAACATTTAAAAGGTTTCCACCCATGTTCTTTAAACATATATACCTTCTACGAACACTAAACATGTAATATTTATTCCAAAAATGTTCTGCGATTTTTTCCGAAAGAGTTTTCAAATAAATATACCTTTTATAAAAGATGTTTACTAACTTTTTTAAGATCGTACACAGCTGATTAGCTGATTACAGTAATCCTTCTCCTTTATAGATTAAAATAGTTTAGTTAAAAGCAATTTTTCTGAAGAAGATGGTGTCACAACGAAATGGGTGTGAACTTGAAAATATATACCATTTTAATGGGAATAAGGCACAACAGGGGAATTTTTCTGTCATTATGGCATGTGCTTGTCTTTTTAAAGATTAATTACATGCTATGATTTATTTCTGATGGATATTCTCAAGTTAAAGTTTATACCATGCAATAGAATGAACTATCTTACAATAAAGTCGTCTCATGAACGCAACTCTGCAATATTGGCAATATCATTTTAAAGTCGTCTACTTTATACTTCATAATATGTGTCTGAATTGTCAATATAAATGAGATAGATAAAAATTAGATTATTAGAAGAATTTTTCACCAAGTAACAAAAAACAAAATTTGTTTAATATATTAATCTTTGTATTTTGAGAACTATTTTCGAAGTGTAAATTGAAACGTCAATAAAGTTATCTCAACCTTAAATTGTGGCTTATTTCCATTAAAATAGTATCTACTTTAAAATGCCACAAGAAAATATCTTCAGAACAATATTCAAAATATTGCGTGGAAAATTAAAAAAATTATAAAAATATGTCATCTTGACTCAATTGTATTAACAATGTCGAATTTATATGTTTTGTTTTATTGTTTTTTATTGAATCGTAATTCAATTATTTATACTTTCTTGTCTTAAATTGTTACTGTACTGTAATGTCAATAGTGCAACTTTTATTTTCTTTTTGTAAAAATTGAAAACCTTATAATTTTTAATTATAATTAACAAATTGTTCATAATTTACAGATAGTAAAGTTAGCATGGTCATCTTTCGCTGTGCTCCGAAGTATCAACAACTAGCTGTGAAAACATCATTGAAGAATCGTAATATGAGGAAACTGCTTATTCCCTATATTACATTATACATCAATATGCACATAAAATTACTTAAATCACACCTTAGTCAGGCAACATTGTTTATAATTTAAAATGAAATAAATTCCAGCTTTTAGCATTATTAATTTTTATTTTTAGACCAAAATGTCTAAAAAAAAAACACTATTATTCCACTTTTTTCAATAAAAAATTGTCTACACTCAAATTTTCTGACTTTGAATGACTCTTTACGTTAAAGTAACTGTAAAGATCATTAGGAATATCACACAAGTCAACATATTATCATCATTAATAAACTTGATAATCTCGTCAGCGCCATTTGGTTATGCGGCACTGAGGAGTTTAAGACAATTTTCTTATAGAGAATTTCGTGAAGTTTGTTACAAAGTTTCATGCCAGATTTCTACAGCCGGGACGAAGCACATCGGAAATTCTAATGTTAACTTCAGGGACATTTTTGTTAACATCAGGATAGGATTTGGTCAAGTGTTCTCGAAAGTTATATTTTACAATTATACACAATATGTGGTTTCTATGGAATAAGAAAGCCAAGAATATTGTAGAATATCCAGAACGAAAGATGTTTTGAATAAAAATGAATTTCTGGGTTACGGTTATTTAATTATAAATAACCAAATATAAAACGGGTTATATTTTTATTCATAACAACTATAATTAACTAGAACAGTAAAGTAGATTTATAAATGGTTGAGTCATTTATTAATACAAAAACATTTTATATAATAATTTACAATACAAAAAAAATAACGAATATCTGTCCCAGACAGCACACACCTTTTATACTTGAGAAACAGTCACATGACATGAAGATGTATAGGAAATTCGTTGTATGATAGTAGTAATTAACGAAAATAGACACGTCATAGATACATATATTTCTAGACATCCAAAAAGCATTCGACCATGTCTGGCACACAGGACTGACCGAAAAACTTTATCCTGACTATCCGGATTAAAGTTGACAATACATTATCCTTGCCATTTACTTCACAATCTGGAGTGCCCCAGGCCTTAATTCTAGCTCCAATTCTATACCTATACACAGTCTATAACAGTGGTATCATCCGCTCTCCTAGATGCGAATCCCTACTGCTATATGCTTGATTTACCACTGATTCCTGACCACTCACGTGAGGCCCACGTAGTATGCTTGGACAAATGTCTGTATTAAATAGAGCCTAAAATTACCTAAACACAGTTGTTGGTGGTCCAATATATGTAGATTGACTCTAAACGCCTTCAAAACTTAATTAATATTATTTAAATCTCTCCACTGCCAGGATGCTTAGGGACGGAGAACCCTAATAGGAGAAAACCTTGATTTCAAAAGTCATTTTATGTGAGCATACCTTAGTATGCTTCACTTTGTTGACAAAGTGGCTTGAATAACCGACGGTACAACCACATCTCAGATGAATCCAGGCATGACCTATTTTTTATAAATGTTAGCGACCACATTGATCCATCTTATTTTATTGACTGCAGCTCGAAATAGATCAATCAGTAAGGCTCCAGTTTTCTACTCTATAGAGGACGACACTAAAGACGTAACATCTAAGAATTCTTATGCTTATATTGATACTTAAAGATAAGTTGCGGGGAAACTTCTTAAGGCTGTTAAAAGAGCTTCTGGCTTTTTCAATACGAGTTTTTATTTCGTAGCTGAGATCCCAAGTATTCTTAATATTGCAGCACAAATAGCATATTTTTCCACTCTTTCTAACGGTGTATCGTTAATTGTAGTCAGACAATTTGGGCGTTTATGCCGGTGTTCTTACTGATGATAATTATTTTTGTCTTCTTGTAATTTAGTTTTAAGCCGTATTTGTTGCATGCTTCTACAACTTTATCCATTATCTATCTCTCTGTATTAGAACTTGCTAACGTGCTATCCTCGTTCCGAGTCCTACTCTGAATCCAAATTGAACTTCACTCAGTTGTTCTTTTAATTTGGTGTATATGCGCGAGTGATTGATAGTAAGGAGTACTTTAAGTACATGGCTCATTAAACTAATTAATCCATGTTCTTCACATTTTCTAGCATTTGCTTTTTTAGGAAGTGGAATGAATATTGATAGCAGCAAGTCTTTTTATAAATAATCAGTCTCGTAGATGTTGTTGAATAGCTTTGTAAGAGCATCAGGTCCTGGTGATTATCTTTGATGATCTTTAATCCGCTTAATGGCCATAGTTACTTCTTCGTTTGTTATTTCTGGGTCGTAGGAATTATTTATTTCAGGAGGACTTCGTGTTGCATCCTTGAATCATTATTGCATATATTCTTTCCATCCTTGTAATTTATCTTCAATAGTAGTCAAAATTTGGCCTTCAATATCTACAATTCTGATATTCTGTATCTCTTTAATTTTTTTTGCATATGGTGATCGTCATCTTTGCGTTGCAGTGTTTCAACTTCCATACATTTGTCCGTCAGCCATGCTTCTTTTGCTCCTTTTATCTCCTTTAGTATAGTTTTATGCAACTTTTTGTATTTAAAGTTTTGTATGTAAAGTTAGTTTAAGATCATAGTTTTAAATTTTGGTATTGACATTATTTATTTAGAACTATATGTCTTTCTAATCGTTGGTAAGGAAGACCTTGTCGTCAGCATATCGGATGTTATTTGTAGGTTTTTTAATCACCATTCTTCTTATTTTTAAAAATATTCTAAGGCCTTTTGTAAAATAGCTTTAAAATTTAAATTAAACACGATTAGCCTCAGTATACACCCCAGAGTGACTCCTTTGATAATTTAAATATCCGATATTGTTATATTTTCGACTGTTACGTGAGCTGACTGGTTTAAAATATTGATAATCCTTATGTCTTTTGTATCTAATCCAATTTGTTTAAGCAGATTTATGAATTTGTCGTGCTTTACTTTATCGAATTCGATACCATAATCTATTAAACATGTGAAGACATTCCTCTGCTGCTAAATATTTTTTGGATCAATATTTGCATTGCGAATGAGCATCTCTGGTACCCATACCATTTCTATTTTCTATCTTACATATATTCTTAATGCCTATTATAGAATTTTAGAATTCTGTACCAACTTATACAGGTCTATTGGATGGGTACCATATATTTTGGAGTCATTTGGTAGTCTCCAAAATTGCTTACAGTTTTTTAAGTTGGAGAAAGACTTATAGTTCCTAATAAATAAAGGTAGTACCATAATTTAAAACTATGGTCTTAAAATAAATATAAAGAAAAACAAATTCATGGTCTTGCTGACAGTGATGATTGATTTTTACAAGTTCTCTGCTATAGGATCCATAGCTTAAGTCTCTATTTAATAGCCCCATTGTATACTGCGATATTTTTTTTTATTCATTTAAATTCGCCTACAAAATGTTTGGTATAAAAATCAGTGGGGTAAAGGGAACTTTAAATATGGGAAGTAAAAAGTATATTATTACATTACTGAGGAAAACATTTATTAACATAAAGAGTTAGAGTCTACTTAAGTAAAATAATTAATTGCTTTTTAGAATGAATAATAAATTGTGAGTTATGCAAACCATCCTATTACTGCACTGAACAATGTTAGAAGTTAAACTGAAGCTTATTGACTGAAGCCGTATGATAGTATAATGTTACAACTAATATTAAAGTTTCGTGTTAGTTATTTTAGTTAGCGCTTCTTCCTAAAGTTGTTATAATATTCCTTTCACGTATAATCAGAAAGCACTGTCAAATACTTAATAAAATAAGCGAGTTTATTTTAAGCTAATAAAATAATTTAAATATAAAAGAGACAAGAAATGAAGTAATATAAAAGTAAAGTAGAGATATTGTATATTGTGTTTGGCCATAATTTAGATAAGATGTCAATTAATAACAAATTAAAACGGTTTGTTAGATACTCTTATTCTTCTGTAGATGCCTGGCAATCATTGATGTTACGTAGCCAGGTCATTTGTGGTCTGTCAGGACTGTGATTTCCCTCTATTTTTACTTCCATTATAGTTCGAAGGAAGCTATATCTTTCATGTATAAATATATGTCTAATGTACGATGTTTTTAGTGGACCGGGACAGTCGATCGGAAGGGAGGATAAAGAATGTAGCAAAGATATGATAACCTGGAGATCAAGAAAAAGTAAAAGAAACACAGAAAATTAGCAATAATAAAAGTATTTCTTATATCGAGAAAGAAAGGCACCATCCGTCTTCTCCTATATATGAGTATATCCTTCTTGATCTTGTTTATGCTCTTCAGACTTGCCTTTACAAGAAACTGAAAGAACTTGCCCAAAGTATTTAACCGGCATATAAGTCTGTACGCCCTTGGCCCCTCTAATTCATTTCCCGGTTTTGGAATAAGTATGAGATTTGCCATTTTCAGATATCCTGAAAACTCTTGCCTTCTTAGCATGTTCTTGGTGATATCCTGTAACCCATTGCACTTTCTCCTTGATGATAATTTTATTATCTCGGGAGATAGCTTATCAGGTCCAGGCGCCTGTCCTGCTTTGAGAGTTCTGTCAGCTTCCATCACTTCTTTCCTTGTAAATTCTGTTACGAGTGTCCCTCCTTGAAGTGGCGTAAAGCTTATTTTCTCCATCTGCGGAATTAGATCTTCCCTTCGACTCTCCTCGATCTTAAAGCAGCCTCCTGTCCCTTTAAAATTCTTGACAACTATTCGGTAGGTGTCTCCTTTTTAAAATTTTCGCAACGTTCATTTCAACGTCTTCTTTTTTACCATTTTTTTTGTACCAGCTTTTTCTTTATGGCTTTTAGTCCTTTTACCTCCTCTTTCATTCCGCAATGCCTCCTTCGTTCTTTCGTAACTTTTCTTCGTAGCTTGATGTAGCCTTTTCATATTTCTTCAATTCTCTCTCTCTCTCTCTCTCTCTCTCTCTACTCTCTCTCTCTCTCTCTCTCTCTCTCTTTCTTATTGACGACAGTTTGCTCTCCTGTCCCACAGACTACACC